TAGAGGGAGAGGACCTACAGAGGGAAGGAGAGAGATAGAGGGAGAGGGCCTACAGAGGGAAGGAGAGAGATAGAGGGAGAGGGGTTACAGAGGGAAGGAGTTACAGAGGGGTAATGAAGGCTGGAAACTTCACAACCTTTAAAAAAGAACATGGATGGGCACTTGAAGTGTTAAGGTTCCGGGTCAAGAGCAGGAAATTGGGACAAGTATAGGAAGGTCAGTGCAGATTCAGTGGGGTCGATGGGTCTCTGCTGTATTTTACGACTGTACAATCTGGCTGTAAAGTAATTTGATATGGGCTGATATGTGCACGTTTACACGGATGGGTGGCTCTGTGTGTTTTATTTTTTCTGTCCTGTGGTAACTCGGTTCTCTCTGGTTGTAGGTTCTCAGCTCCAGCCTGCAGACCACCGCAGTTTCTCTTCTACTCTCCCCTCCTCCCCACTTCCCCGGGCAACACTGTCCCAGAAACAGCCGGAACGAAGCAGAAACCGGGGAAGGAAACATTAGAAGTCAGGCAAGCAGGGGTCCGGTCTCCAAGCGGATCATTCATCGGTATTTTTCAGCGCAGCAGCCCGGCAACCCCCAGAGGTTGAGAGAGGGAGAGGAGTTACAGAGGGAAGGTGGGGGAGAGAAAGGGAGAGGTGGTACAGAGGGAAGGTGGGAGAGACAGAGTTGTTACAGAGGGAAAGAGGGAGAGAGAGGGAGAGGAGTCACAAGGGAGAGGGAGAGAGAGGGAGAGGAGGAGGGAGGAGAGGAGTTACAGAGGGAAGGAGAGAGATAGAGGGAGAGGGAGAGGAGTCACAGAGGGCGGGAGAGAGAGGGAGAGGAGTTACAGAGGGAAGGTGGGGGAGAGAGGGAGAGGAGTTACAGTGGGAAGGAAAGAGATAGAGGGGGAGGAGTCACAGAGGGAGAGAGAGGAGTTACAGGGGGAAGGAGAGAGATAGAGGGAGAGGAGCTACAGAGGGAAGGAGAGAGGTAGAGGGAGAGGGAGAGGAGTCACAGAGGGAGGGAGAGAGGTAGAGGGAGAGGAGTCACAGAGGGAGGGAGAGAGAGGGAGAGGAGTCACAGAGGGAAGGTGGGGGAGAGAGGGGGAGAAGTTACAGTGGGAAGGAAAGAGATAGAGGGGGAGAAGTTACAGTGGGAAGGAAAGAGATAGAGGGGGAGGAGTCACAGAGGGAGAGAGGAGTTACAGAGGGAAGGAGTGAGATAGAGGGAGAGGAGTTACAGAGGGAGGGAGAGGAGTTACAGAGGGAAGGAGAGAGATAGAGGGAGAGGAGTTACAGAGGGAAGGAGGGGGAAAGAGGGAGAGGAGCTACAGAGGGAGGGAGAGGAGTTACAGAGGGAGAGAGAGAGGGTGGGGAGGAGTTACAGTGGGAAGGAAAGAGATAGGGGGGAGGAGTCACAGAGGGAAGGAAAGAGAGGGGGGAGGAGTCACAGAGGGAGAGAGAGGAGTTACAGAGGGAAGGAAAGAGATAGAGGGGGAGGAGTTACAGAGGGAAGGAGAGAGATAGAGGGGGAGGAGCTACAGAGGAAAGGAGAGAGATAGAGGGAGAGGAGCTACAGAGGGAAGGAGAGAGGTAGAGGGAGAGGACCTACAGAGGGAAGGAGAGAGATAGAGGGAGAGGAGTTACAGAGGGAGGGAGAGTTACAGAGAGAGAGAGAGAGAGAGGAGAGGAGTTACAGAGGGAAGGAGGGGGAGAGAGGGAGAGGAGCTACAGAGGGAAGGACAGAGATAGAGATAGAGATAGAGGGAGAGGGAGAGGAGTCACAGAGGGAGGGAGAGAGAGGGAGAGGAGTTACAGAGGGAAGGAAAGAGATAGAGGGGGAGGAGTCACAGAGAGAGACAGAGGAGTTACAGAGGGAGGGAGAGAGAGGAGTTATAGAGGGAGAGAGAGAGAGGGAGACGAGTTACAGAGGGAAGGAGGGGGAGAGAGGGAGAGGAGCTACAGAGGGAAGGAGAAAGATAGAGGAAGAGGGAGAGGAGTCACAGAGGGAGGGGGAGAGAGAGGGGGAAAGGAGTTACAGAGGGAAGGAGGGGGAGAGAGGGAAAGGAGTTACAGACAGAAAGAGAGAGAGAGGGAGAGGAGTTACAGAGAGTAAGAGAGAGAGAGGGAGAGGAGTTACAGAGAGTAAGAGAGAGAGAGAGGGAGAGGAGTTACAGAGGGAAGGAGGGGGAGAGAGGGAGAGGAGTTACAGAGGG